AAGAGCTGCAAATACTTTTGGTGGAGAGCCTCGTCTTATCTCGACTAAACTATGCAGACACTGTATACGGTCCTCGACTCTTTTCTAGAACAGAACGCCTGATACAAAGACTTCAAAACGCTTGTGCCAGGTTCTGTTTTACCGTACCCAAAAGGGGTCATGTCACCCCTTTTTTTAATAAGCGCAACATTTTAAAAATGCATGCGCGTCGAAGGCTTCATATGGCAAGTCTCCTATTTGGCGTAATTAACTTCCGTACACCGTCCTATTTATTTAACAAGTTGAAGTGGACATTTAGGCACAACCAAAATATGAGTAGAGAATGCTCATCGCAGCTTTCAATACCTCATCATAGGACAACTGCCTTTAAGGGTAGTTTTCGTTACTCTGCGTCGAAATGCTGGAATAATATCCCTCCTCCAATAAAAAGAATACCAAGTGCGTATTCTTTCAAAACGAAATTGAAGGAATTCTTACTGGAGCATCAGAAGGATTTCGAAGACGTCAGAGTAACTCTTAGCGTGATATAAAATGGAGTGCGTGCCATGACCTTGGATGCCGTGCTGTGCCGTATCTCACCTTATTTTATTAATAACTAGAAATTATTATATCTTTACTATCATGGTCATAATGTCTTAATTCAATCAAATTGTTATCCAATTAGTACTCATTATATATTTAAATGTTTTCCTATTAATGAAGTTATTATGCAATCACTATCGTTCTCGGAATATTCTCAAACCAATATCTCTTTATAGCATGCTATACTAGACTATCATAATGATCGAATATTTATTCTATCTAACAGACACGCGGACAACACCGATGGGCTGCGCTGAAAACCAGCGCTAGGTACATTGCGCCTAGCATTATGCTGAGTCGTGGTCCATATTGGTACAGATGTATTAAATATGTAACTTGTAAATATGTAACAATCCAAAATGTGCCAATTAAAGTATTTTTCTTTCTTTCTTTTGGAGACAGACAACGGACCTCTTGAAAAAATGACAGCAAACCAACAGCAAATTGCTGTTAGATTTTAGTGTTCTTTATTAGTATTGTGACAAGGCGGTTGAACTAAAAAAAAAGGATTTATCCTCTCAGAATAACCCTATAAAATTTTACCCGATCCGAAAATTAAACCCGAAGCCTCGCGTACCGTACTACATCACTAAGGCAGCACAGGGCCGCCACTAGCTGTTCGACCGCCCGCGTGCAATACCGATGAAGCCGCCCGCTCCTTGGGATACGGTGAGCCGATGGGGTAATTATGAATTTCATTTCAGATCAAGTTATTTTTATTCTTCTTTCAATGAGTTTAGAAATCATATTACTTAATTTCGATACAATTATACTGCGGCATGTTGTGGCATACCGCGCCTATAAATTAAAAAAGTCCTTTAAGACCAACTAGCCACTATCTACTGATCAGGCTTTTGAATCAAAGTGTTTATATAGGTGTGTGTATTTAACGAATTTTGTTGTTCCAATTCCAACAGTTTTATTCAAATACTTTAAGTAAGTAAAACCTTATCAAAATTGTTGTACCCAAATAATTGATTTGAGGTTCAAAGCGATAAGCCTAAAATAGACCGCCAACGCAATATTTGTAAAACGACTGGTTAGAACGCGCGTGTATCAAACGAAGGCTTAATTATCTTCTAGAATAACAATAATGATGTAAATCTATTTAGAAAAAGTTTTGTGGCATACTATACGTGTAACCACTTCATACATATCATATTCTGTATGTAGTTCGTTACTGTAGCTTATAAATTGTAATGTTTATATCTGTGGTGTATGGTGAAAAAACATTTTATTTCGTCCTAAAGGTTTTGTACAATATATTTTATCCCTATACAAATCTACGTACTGAGTTTTCGACACTGAAAAATTTTCGACAATTTTATTTAACAAATGATTTACTGCACCTCGTCATTTTAAATATTACTCGTATGTAATACCATTATTTTAATATATAATAATGTAAAAATATTATAATATTTTTACATAGATATACGTTTTTTTAAATAAAATGTTTACATTCCGCCTATCATTAAATTCAGTTACATACAGTTTGCGCTACAAGAATCTTTCCTATTCCATTTGTTTTGATCTCAGCAATTAATTTCCATTTAAAATTAATATTCATGAGGCTTATAGGTAATAAATTTGTAGAAATACACTGCTTATTAATTATAGTTAAACAAACTAGAAGTTCACTGACCCAATATACTTATTTATATGGAAAGTACATATCGTAGAATTGTAAGTAATTTTAGCTTTAACAGTTCCGTATTAGGTGTAATAAAGATTGAATTTAAAGTGATTTAATTAATTCAAGTAAAAAAGATGTCAGTTAGCCAGCCCATTCGCTCACGTTTGTTTAGTAGGTGTGTACCTACTAAAAAAACGTTAGCAAATTTTCACCGAGTTAGTGAGATTTTTAGAAGCCAACCTCAAAGGCCAGCAACGCGCTTGTGACTCCTGAGTTGCAGACGTTCATGGGCAGCGGTAGTCACTATCCATCGGGTGACCCGTCTGCTCGTCTGCCCCCCTCATACATACAAAAAAAACACATTACAATGTTACATTACATTAGTCAATAGAGTGTGCACACTCTTATACTTTGATAGCATTTACCTAAAATTGAACACTCCAATAAAATAATTTTGATATCATATCAATTAATAATTCTTTAGGCTAGTTGGGCATTTTCGAACAACAAACAAAACACATTTTTTGAGATGGGAAAAAACCATTGAACTCGCGTCGCTATTTCCGTTACCGTTACCGTTACCGACACCTCAGTACATAAGTTTTCACCTCTGTCGGTACTCCCAGAGTGCCACGGTTTTTTTTAGGATCTTATATCCTAAAAAAACTGGGAGACAGGTCAAGCAACTACCGCCGCCCGTGAACACCTGCAAGAAAGAGCCACAATAGCGATGCCGCTCTTCGAGTCCCTCCTCCCAGAATCAGGGGAGAAGGGGGCTTAAGCTCCGTTAACTTTATTCACTCGGGAAAAATCAACGAGAGAATTGTTTAAAACTGGTTTTCTACGAGGATCACTCCGGTCGAGTCAGTCCATTTGTGCCAAACTACGGCTCTCTTACAGAAAATGTGTTGTGTCAATGACAATTAAGAAAACTATACTTAAGTGCGTTGCGGCGCAACCAATTATGTTTTAAGGAAGATATGTTATATTCATACTGCACACATAAATATTTGTTCTGTAACCGTACATAAATCTATAAATTCATTTTAGAACAAAATACACACAAATGTGGTATAATATTCCTTTATCTTTGCTTACCTTTTTGTCCTAATTTGTGCACTTTCAGAATACACTGGAAGGCATTTTATGAATTTTCTGGAATTAATTAGAACGTGCTCTCGATGGTAGTGGTCCTAATTAGGACCCTCGCATTTTGTGCATTGGTGTCATTGGCTTAAATGTGTAATAATAATAGATGAGCTTTTTTGGAGTGAAAATATTTCACTTATGATTACGAATATGTGCGCGTGAGTATAACCATATATTTTTAATGAGTCCGAATACCATTTAGTGAAGTTTTTATGGGATAAAACTCGTAAATGTTATTGTTTCACGTAAATATTTGTACATGTAGGTGTGGAGCGCGTGATTTGAGAGGGTCTTGTCCGTAGCGTGACCCTCATCAATTTAAAGTGAACGACATTACATTGTTTGCCGATAAAATTTTAAACAGGCTTAAGGTTATTTTGAATGTTGTGGATCGAAACTGGTCATACAGAAAAAATAATAAAGGTTGACTGTGAGAGAATGCCTCATGGCATTAAGTCCGCCTTTGTACAAAATGTGCATTAAGTTTTAAATAAATAAATAAATACATTCTTCATGACATCACACATAACCTTATTATTTTGGTTCTTAGTAAGGTATAGGGTAATAGGTAATAGTAGTATTAGTAGGTAATAGTAGTACTATTCGACAGAGAACTAAAGTAACCGACATCGCTCGGAGACTCAGCTCGCTAAAGTGGAAGTGGGCTGGCCATGTCTACCGGCGTACTGTGATCGCTGGAGCCGACATGTGCCAGAGTGGAGATCGCGATTAGGCGAACGTAGTGTAGGACGCCCTGCGGCACGATGGACCGACGACTAAAGAAAATGGCTAAAAACTAGAGAAAATGGCTCTCAGCAGATGGATGCGGATTGCCCAAGATCGGGATGGTTGGCGCTCCTTGGGGGAAGTCTTTGTTCAGGAGTAGACGTCAGTAGGCTGATGATGATGAAGAAAACAATTGATAGTACTTATGATGTTGTGTTTTTATTAATGGTCCACATGCATCACATCATAATTAAATATTTTGGATTAATGAAAACAACATAAACACAACAACACACAACCTAAATAATATATATATATATATCCTTGTAGTCTGTACATATTTGTATTTTTGAGAATTTATTGTGGTATGAGGTAATAAAAATTCATAGTTTGAGACTATTAGAATAAACAAGCTTTGCCATCGTCTTATTATGTTACAATAATATTATAAATTAATTGCATACAGATACAAAAGAAATGATCGTATTGATCACATTATTTTCGTGTTCATTACATTAATTATTTGTCCTTGGTGGGAATCGAATCTACGTCGTCTGACCTAACGGTGAGAAAAGTTTAATAATTCACACATCGGTGTATGGGACCATAACTACAACTACATAACTCTGCATAAGAAAGTTTACAGAACTCATAAAAACGTAAAAATTGCTATATTTTAAACAGTCAACAAAAGTAGGCAATTACTTTAATGCTACGTCCTAATAGGTATATCAAATTATTCATAAACTAAATGGGCCAACGAAGTTAAATATTAATGCAAATCCTTTTGTTTCAGATAAAAAATGCAAACCCGAAAACGTCAAAGAAAACGTCGGGTGAAGAGCAGTGTCGTGCGATGGACGTGCTATAGAAAAATGTAAAGTGCTTGATGGACTTAGAGTTCAAAATGGGTGTGGCAAATTTGTGGCCAATAATGGGCAGCTTGACGAACAGAGACCTTCTAGTGGTAGTTTTGTTGTTGTGTAGGACGATAGTTTGTGACAGTCAGTGTCCAAAATTTGCAGAGAAGCCATTAGAAACGCGAGTTCAAGATGCTACTATAGTTTTTAGGGCGGTAGTCGTTCAAACACATTATCAGGTGAGTTGGTTCGTGTTTGCGTTTTGTTTTCTATGCTTATCTGCAAACATTTGTAGAACTACGTGATTTCTTTAAAACAATATTCCCTGTTTTCTTTACGTTTTGACGCAAACATAAGTTTTACGTAGGGACAATTTACAGCTTGAATAAATACATCTTATTCACTTAACAAAAATTAAACTTCGTAGAAATTAAAATTCATATAAAAAGCGTATTTTGTGCTATCATCCCTATAGTAATGGATGGTGCTGATTTGCAACGTATGATTCACTATCATCATCTCAGTTGAATGATGTCTTCTACAAGACGTAGGCCTAGTAGACGTAGGATTAATATAAGAAAAAAAAAAATGTGGGTGAAAACACACAGCTTTGTGGAATACCAGCAATTACAGATTTGTACAATTTCTTGGGAAGCCTATAGGAAGGAAACGTTAAGAGATGTACTTTGTGCCACACCCCGTCCAAAAGCCTCTCCTAGCCTTCCTATCTCGCCTACTTTTTCCTTTCAATATACTTATACAATCTATACAAGATAATCTTTTCGCATATTTTTTTCCACTAAAAGTACTATAATAAATAACTTTCCGAATTTAAGGAAATCTAACCCATATTTCGACAGCTCATTCCTAACATTCATTCTTGGAATGGTCGGCTTTACGACTGGAATATGTCATCAGAGACACTACGTAAAATTTTACTACCCAAGACCTCCGACAAAGATGAGTTTTGAAATGGTAAAGACGCTATCAAGATGAATTTATTGGCTTTGAGATTAAACTGAAAACGAGACAAGCGCTTTCATGTTATTGTTAGGATTATAGAGTGAACAGAATTTTGGGCTTTATCTAGCGGTGGATTCTGACATAGATATTAATGCATTGTGTTGTAAAGATAATGGTAGTTGTATTTAATTTGTATTAAGTAATCTATCGAAAACTATACAAGTGCTTGTCGGACCTGTTTTAGACAAGTAATGACTGCAGCTAAGGCATTTTTTTCTTAGAATTTTGTTTAATTTGAAAGCCCGGGTAGGTACAGCCAGAAAGCTTGGCTGATTATTACGCTTAAATTAGCGGAGGTAACTTAACAAAATTTTAGCTTTTGTACTACTAACAATTTTTCTACCTGTAATAGTCAGCTATCTCGTGGACAGATCGACAAATATGCCGAAACTATAAGGGCTCCTTGTTAATGCTTGCCATGTAACCCTAAAAAGGAGTTGAGTCATTTGCAGCACGGTCGTTCCTGACGTATGTATGTATGCGCTAGTCAAGAACGGTATGTTGATACACATTGGAATGTATGACATACATAGGTAGAAATAGAGCATAAAATAACTTAGAATGTAAATTTTCATGAATGCTATTCATATTTGTTAAACATTGGCCGAATAGTTTCAAACCCAATGGGACCTCTTTTGGTACATACTTGAGTAAAATTGTATATATTTAATAAATAAAATAAATTTATAATATATACTAATATATTAATAAACACAGATTACTTAACAAGGACCATATGAAACATAAATCACTATAAGATTGGCAATGCACGAACACTCAGGAAACATTTTATTAAAATTAAGCATTGAATATTAAAATAAACTATGGTGGCGTGCCTGATTGAATGCAAATGAAGTCGTTGGGCCGCATAAAATATTTTCAATGAATTGGTGCCATATCAACCACCATTAGATTGTTGTAAATTTATATTAAATTTATCATTTACATTGCTTTATTTAAAATTAAAAAGTGTAACCGACTTAAATGCGCCTGCGTCGTGATGAATTGTAATAAACTGTATTCTTCATTATTTAATTTTCCACCGTTAACAGCAATATTTTTTCTACGAATTTGAATGAAAACGGAAAGGATACCCTCTCAAGTAAAAAAAAAATCGAATTCAATGACGATGTTCTGAAGAAGTAAACTAAGGTAAAAAAAACTTTCTTAAAAAGCTTACAGTAGTGTAATGCCAATGAGTTAAGTAATGGGGATGGCGTTGAAAGCCACAGCCAGTAGAAGTTTTAGCAATCGCGGAGCACTCCCCATAATACAAGCGACAGAGAATGCAGACTTTGTAATCTTGGTTCTAGAACACGGTTTAACATTATTTTCTATACATACATATAGTTAGACTAAAGAAAATAGAGATTTTGATGTATCATATATATTATTTCTTACCTTACACGTCTCACATACGGTCGTCTCACCGCAAGCTAGTAAGGGCCTGTAATATGGCAACCAGACAGTTGATAAACATACTTAGGTATATGTTTCTGAATACGTACATCTTATAGATAAATTACACTCGGTATAGAACAAAATAATTGATTGCGCTCATCACATAATTGTCCTAGGTGGGAATTGAATCCACGACCTCCGGCTTAGCAGACAGGATCACTATCTGCTAGAATAACAGACCCTTTATTATCATAAATCATAAAAATGAATATCTTTAACACTTCTAAATGCCACTCCTGTTAAATACAAAAATAAAAAGTCATGTCACAGTACTTCGCAAACAGAAGACTTCACCAGCGTTTTGTGCGGAAGATAAAACCTATGAAGTACGCAGTAGATTTATAGCATAATTTTATTACATTTCTTCTCGTAGTCTATACATACACTTGCAGATTCAGCTAGATGTATATGGATGTATGTGTATCAGTAACATCTGGATGTTAAAGGAAACTAAACGATAAAAATATTTTCCTCTCGCAAGCAACATGAATTTTCCTCTTTGCAACGTATGCTGGATGAAAACATACTTCTCAAAGACGCCGTTAATTAATTCAACATAATCAAGATAAATTTCCATGACGTCATAAACAATATTTTATGTGATCATTAATAACAATATGTTGTTTACAACAAACGCTTTGGTGATTCACTTATAAATTAACATTAACCCAAAGAAGCAACTAAGTTATTATTATAAACTAGCTTTTGCTCGCGGCGCCGTCTGCATGTGTATAGACTATCGCGGTAAAAAGAGACTTGTGTTCTTCTTCAAGAATCAAAATATATTGTTGCCAAATTTAATTAAAAGTGTTTCAGCTGTTTAGCCATGAAAACGTAACAGACAGACAGAGTTACTTTTGATTTAATAGTATTAGTATCGATTTTTTTTAAATATGTCAGAGTGTATAAAAAGCTAAAAGCATGATAAGTTTTTTTCCTCATCTATATATATGAAAATGTTATCTTGGCTTGTGTAATCTTAAAAAACTCAAATAGTTTTTCACCGATTGAGCTCAAGTTTTGACAAGATATACAACACTCTTTAAAGATGGTCGTTGTCTACTTACGTTATCAAAACGGCCCGAAGCGGCGACGGCCGCTTTACCCCGCATATTAAACCTCTAATATCTTCTAAAATATTCATTTTAGAAGACATATACAAGCTCAGACTTTTTGCAGATCCGTGAAAACCGCATTAAAATCCATTGCATAGTTTAAAAGATCTAAGCGTACAACAAAAAAAGCAACTTTATTTCATACTATAATACAAATATATAATTACGAGAAAAAAAACCACACAAATACATCAGAAACTTTCTGTTATCTAAAAAACCCTATAAAAACAGACATTTAGTGTAATGATGTTGAGATTTTAAATAGCCTATAATGATAGTAATTTAAGTCACTTTTTGGTCGATTTGACTCCGACATAATCACCCCACCGGTGGGTGATATCCTAGTGTATTTCCGCACAGGAACAAAAGAAGTAAAGGATATACTTTGACATTTTTTAATGCTAACCTGGGTATTGTTTTTAGTGTAGTAGTTAAATAAAGAGTCGTGATCGTCTCTAAGCAGCAAAACACAGTCCGATGAAGAGTTTATGTAGTAGTAGTACTGTGAGTGTTTGATGTGATGAATTATGTTAAAAATATAGGCGTTGTAGAAGAAGAAAATAATGTATTAGTTAATAATTTACCAAAGAAATATTTAATTAAGTAAGTAAATATTATGATCTCATATATAAAATTCTCGTGTCACAATGTTAGTTACCATACTCCTCCGAAACGGCTGGACCGATTTTTATGAAATTTTGTGTGCACATCGGGTAGGTCTGAGAATCAGCCAACATCTATTTTTCATACCCCTAAATGACAAGGAATAGACCCCTAAATATTTTTTCAGTATTTCCTAGAAATAATGTATATGGCAAAACAACGTTTGCCGGGTCAGCTAGTTTTATTATAAAACTTAAAGTCCGTATCTAGGGGTAACTGACGAATACCCTGCGCGCTAATAACGAAGCTAAGTTTCTTGTCAAGTCTAATTAAGTATTATTAAACTGTCGAAGTTGCTTTTAGAACGATAAACGTTATATTTCATATTAAGTTAAGAAAAAAATATTTAAAAAAAAAGCTCAAAGAAGGTGCAGCTTGTTAAAAGTAAGGAGACTCAGGAGACGTTAGATCTCAGAAAGACACAGTTTTAAAAAGAAGCAATTGCAAACTTTTTTAATATACAGAGGATATTAACCAGTAGGATACTTTTAAGACCCGTAGTTGTATGTGTCCAGTCCTTTAGACCTCCTTAGTAATAGAATAAACTTTTGAAACTCGCATTCCGTTTTTGAAGTTAGCCAATTAAACTACTTGTTCACATTTCTTTCCATTCCTATCTTCCATTGCTTTATTAGGTTTAAGGAATTCAATCTCTAAAGGAAAGGAGGTACGAAAGTAAGACTTACAGGTTTAATCCTTAAAAAATGTATATGTCTGGCATTCAGTAATGTGTTTTGATAATCGAGATTGAAAAGCGTAAAAAGAGGTTTTATTTTTCTCCAGACAAATTTTTATTTTACTTGTAATATTAACTCTAATTTGCCGTTATTAACCTAGTCGATACTTGTAAGTTTAAAGACGAAAAAAAAGATAAACAACAGTTAAAACACTTTCCATATTAAAACTGTGAAACTCTGCCGAACTGGTTTACCGACGAAAATTAAGACCATGATGAGATTATTATTAGTGTCATATAG